TAAAATTCGTTATACCCAGAGTTATTAATTATAAAAAATTGGGTCTGGCAATTTTGGTTCGTTATATCCAGGGTTCGTTATAAATAGGTTCGGTATAAACAGTGTCAACTGTACTTTCGCCTTTTTGTGCCTAATTTTATTCTTTCCGCTGAAAGCAAATGCCATAGATTTAAAGAATGGAATCTCTGTGAAGGCAATGGGCCTAACCTGAGGGTTCTTCCCAGCATCACAGCATCACTTCAGCGATTGGATTTTTGTGTGACTAGCGCTATAAACTACGTCACAATAGCCATCTACAATGATCATCACGAATATTCCCATTCCTACTAAGGAGGAAGAGAAGCATACTCTGTCACTTAGTTCAACGACGTTATAATACTCTTCGAGCGGTAATGTCATCGAGCAAAGAGACAACAAGTTATATTAACTCACGCACAGAAGAAAGAACTGTGCACTTTACTTTCTCAAAAGCCTGCTCCAAACCTAATTGATGTTGCATATCAATACGCAGAATACTGTTTCAGATACTGGATATGGAATAAACGAGATCGGTGGCTGGCCACTAATGATGATGAAATTTCATCAAAAAGAAAAAAAGAACGCAGACCACTATATCCTGAGGTTGAAGAAGCATTAACAATATGGTTTACGCGCGCCGTTCATGACAATATCACTGTTACCGCCGATCTTCTTTGCTAGCCTTTTAGGGGTTGAGAAATTTGGTGATGCTACAACTTACTGCGCTGAGGCGTGGAGTGCTGTTACAGAAACTACCGTTAAGAATTGTTGGAGGAAAACCGGCATCTTACCACTTGATAACGAGACGTCAACTGTTAATGAATTGAACGTCGGCGACGATTTTTGTTGGACATCTCGTTATCCCAAGATTCCGTCTACTTTGTTACGGGAAAATTTACCATGCTAGATAATGGTTTGCTAGAGCTTATTGTTCTTTCTGCAGGGAATTACCCCATAGAAAAAGACAAAATCCCGGTTTGTAAACCAATCTTTTTCCTGTTAGGACGGGTTAAGGAAGTGTGTACCGCCGCAGAATCTGGGTATTATTTGACAAGCCGTATTTAACGACAGACATGAATGGGCCGGTCAATGCAGTGTTAACACATCCTTTAAACGGTTGTCCGAAAAACAATTTCACCGCTTCGAAGACCTCATCCGTAATCCAATGCACCGCAGTTATTGAAAATAATTTATACGACGACGCGATAGAAATGCAATTTGTAAACCTAACGTCAGAGCCGTCGAACAGTGTCCCATGGTCAATAACGAGCAAGGATAAGAAGAAAATCTTGGTGGAGAGCCGAATAGCAGCGGTTCGTAAATCGATGCAGAAACAACCACTACCCGCGCCGGCTAAAGTTTAATACTGAAACGATTGTAAAGGAAAAGGGGACAGTAAAAGCCGATCAAGGTTAATGATATTGCTCGCGAGACTATTAAACGAAAAAGGGGGAAAGCAACGAGTGATTTTGACGAAGACAGTGGTGAGATAATAGCCATAAACAACGAGGTAAATGCGGATGATAAACTACTATCGAAAAATAATTCGACCGGGATGTATAGTGACGAAGAGTTACCTCGGCTAGAACCAAGAAGAAATAGTGATCATAATTGTTAGTTACAAAACTAAAAGACGATAAGAAACTCTTTTCCATGTAGTAATTAGTCAAACTTATTCTTTACAAGCACAAAACTCCAACGCTATAACTATGTAGCCTTTACTCAGTCAACAATATTCTAATATAATTTAGCAAGTGCTTTGCAAATGCAAAAACTAAATATACAACTATTACTAATACAAGATTACACGCATTCGTTTACAACAAATATTACCATAAAAAAATGACCAACAAAATTAATAAACAAAAAACATATGACTTTATTTCAGCGGCTTGTTAACTCATCAATTGACATATTAATATGCAGAACCACATCGTATAATTCGAACCTTTAATAAAATTTATATCCTAATAAACTGCAATAGTAAATAGACCGTGAATTACGAGTTTATTCAAAAAGAGTTTGAGTTGCTAAATTATAAGAAATGGATGTGTTAATATTGTAATATTGTAAATTGACTTATTTGTACCAATGCATAACATACCTGCAGCTGAATCCAAATTATAACTATTTCTCGGTTTAGGCAAAGCTCCAGTAGGTAAGAGTGTGCTGGAATATTTACTCTCTTTCTCGAGACGTG